TGATAGAACGCATGCTTGTCGTGTTGTAGGTCGTCGCCTGTTGCATCCACATTTGCTCACTGTGCGTTGTGAGTGGCAATCTCGAGGTGAACTGTAGTAGTATATTCTTCTGTGGTTGTGGGTGCTGCTTGTGGGCGTATGTCGGTATTGGTTTGCTCGTCGGCTGCAGTTGTGAATTGTGTAGGTTGGTGTGCCACGTGGGTCAGGAAGTGACATCCGTCTCGCTGAATCACAAGATAGGCGCGGTGGTCGGTGGTTGGATCTTTATGGTGGATCGTCCAGTATAGGTGTTGGTGATCTGCTAGTCGGTCTTGTAGTAGTGCTTCTGGTTGAGGGAATCTGGAGTCGGCTGTGATTGCTGCGTCTGTATTAGGGTTGACTGCGGCATGCCTTTTTGCTAGTGCGTCTGCAAACTCATTCCATGGATGGTGTTCGTGTCCATGTATGTGGTCTATGGTGATGGAGTGTTGCTTGCGCGCTTGGTGGAACAGTATTTGTGCTATCCTTGTGATTGGACCGTCGCTGTGTGTGAGCTGATTGAGTATGTGGACTGCGTTGGTTGTGTCTGTGTGAATTTGCTTTTGTAAGTGGGGTGGTTGCTGTGTGGCGTATAGTACTGCCCCGATGATGGCTGCTGGCTACACCTTTGTGCTGTCTAGTTGGCCTGTGTCGATGTCGCTGTGTCCTCGTCCTCCTCCTCCTCCTCCGCGTCTTGACCGATCGGCGGTTTTCCGATCGCCAGATGGTTCCGGAGGGGACGGAGGGGAGGGATGCCGCTTCCGACGACGACGACGTCCTCGTCCTCGTCGTCGTCGTCCTCCTCCTCCTCGTCCTCGTGCTCCTCTTCGTCCTCCTCCTCCTTCTCCTCCTCGTCGTCGTCCTCCTCCTCCTCGTGTCGGAAACAATTAAACAACACTCATGTGCAACATATGGTTTGAACTCCCCCACCTCCCCCCGAATGCAAGGTTGGTGTCAGATCTTCCGAGTCTGAGTGTCCGTCCGAGCGCCAGCGAGTAACTGTGCCAACTTTGACTTGCGGCGGAGGGGGGAGGGCTTCTTCCCCCCCCTCGACAGTGGGGGAAGTACCAGTTGTTTGTCGTTCTTTTTGGGCCTCCTGGAGGCTTCTCGGCGCCACGCACTGGCGTGAGAAAAGAGTTCAGGGTGGAGGCGGAGGGGCCCAGGGACCGATGATAAAGCAACCTCGACCTTCCCTGATATCCAGACGTTGCTATTTTTTCACACCGTGCGTTTTCGCTCAGCTTCGGGCCCCAGGGCTATCACAGATCGGTTCGGGTCTAGGGCTGTAGTCATGATTTTTCGCGATGGTACATCTTTTTCGCAACGTCGATGTCAGGGTCATCCGTTATCCCTATCCCGAAGGTCGATCAGCCCAAGACGATTGCCAGTCTCAGGGGTGCTCCCTCAGAAGACGGAGAGAACTCTCGAGATCGACGAGCCGAAGTTGTGCCAACCACAAGGATGGGGACATCACGAGAACGGCGCCCATGCACCGCACCATGCTGGACCCCCTTCGGGCCCCGCTCCCACGCGGCTCGGTGTACAGTCCTTCGGCCCTGGGGGCCGGACGCATCGGGAAGCGCCAACGCGGTACGATGGGCACAAGCCGGCCGCGGGCGGCAAGCCTGCCACTCCCGGAGCTCCGCCGCCAGCCTCAGCCTGCTGAGCGGGCGCTCGGCCCGGTAGACGAAGGACCCGACCCCGAAGCGCCTCTGGGCCGACGTGCGCCCGCCCTGTGCACGATCGCCGCTGCCGTGGGCATGCCCGCAGCTGTCCTCGTCGCCGCGCTCGTGGCTATGATCGGGCGCTGCTAGGCTCGGAGGTTCGACGGCTCGACGGTTTGCGGGGCCCCGAGGTGATTTCCATCAGCTGCGCCTCGTCGAGAGCGTTCCAGAAGTGCTGGGATCGTCCCGAGCGGCCGCCAAAGATCGGAGTTACGACCCAGAAACCGGACGACGAGGATCACTGGGGTCACCTTGGGCCCTGGCCCAAGGTGCCCCCAGCTTCCCCGGGAGACGCAGATTCTGCCATCTCCGGGCCCAGGGGGCCTCTGGAGGCCCCCAGAGTGGCGCGACAAGGTGGGATCTCCTTGTGCCAGGGTTACTTCTGGCAGCTCCCGATATGAGCGTGGCCACATCCATGCTCGTGCCCGTGCCCAAGGACCGATGATCCTCAGGATGTGTGCTAGCGACAACGTGTGCCTGTCCTTCGGAGCCCTTCGATGCGACGCAGGCGGTGTGATGAGGGCTGGCACAGGCTGCGCGCTGTCGGTGGAACTGAGCTGGCCGAACGCACGTCGTGCCAACATGAGTCCTGAAGATCGTCGGATGGACTGCAGAGGCTTCTGGCAATGCTCCAGTGTGCTGGGAACCAGCCTCGGGTACCGCAGGTATGAGTGCCTGCACGGGCACCTGGCCGTGTTGAGCGACCAGCAGCTCCATGCTCGGATTCAGCTCCCGCGCCAAGGCCTCGGCCTGCTCCAGCTCGGCAGCAGTGGCCGCATCCGCCTTGTTGAGCACCACCACGTCCGCCGCCTCGATCTGTTCTGCCAAGAGCACGCTGAGGCGCTCGGCACTGGACTGGCCCTGGCCAGGCCCAGGTGCCGCCATCGCCTGGAAGTCCGCCTCCTCCGTCTCCTCCGTCTCCTCCTCCTCCTCCTCCTCCTCCTCCTCCTCCTCCTCCTCCTCCTCCTCCTCCTCCTCCCCCACCCAAGTGCGGCCCATGTGCTCGCTGCTCCACCCAGGTGCCGCCATCGCCTGGAAGTCCTCGGCGAAGGCCGGAGTATCCACCACGGTGACGACTCGAGCAACGTGCGCCAGAGCGGGCCAGGCGAGGTCATCCAACACGCTGCGTGCCGCGCGGGGCTCTGCGATGCCCGACAGCTCCACGACGATCGCGTCCAGGGGTGGCGAGGCGACGTCCGACGGCCGCGCCCCGGTGAGCTCCACGATGCTCTCGCGGAGGTCGTCCGAGGCGGAGCAGCAGACGCAGCCGTTCGTGAGCTCAATGGTCCTCGCACTCGCCATCTTGACGGCCTGGTCCAGGACCAAGGCGTCGATGTTAACGGACGCCAGGTCGTTGACGACGACCCCCAGCCGCAGGCCGTGGTCGCCCTGCAGCAGGTGCTGCAGCATGGTTCGGCGACTCCGAAGGGTGTGGTTTGCAAAGGGTGCGGTTTGCAACCCGCAGCCTGGGGCGGGGGGCGAGGACCTCGACAGAGTTCTCCGCCGCGCTCCGAGGAGGCCCGACGAGGGCAACGCGGTGCCCCCCCAAGCCCCAACGACGCAGATCGCAAGCCACACGCCGGCGCAACCACACCCTTTGTGGTCGCCGCATGGTGGTCTTCCCGGCGCCGAGGAAGCCAGACAGGAGCGTCACGCCGACCCCGGAGCTGGCCCCCCGCCGGCTGGCGCCTGCCCACCTGCTACCGCTGCCGCCGGCCCGCGCCGACCAGCGCCCGCAGTGCCGCGGCGCGATGGCGGCGGTGCGGAGGCCCTCGCGCGTCCCTGGCCAGCCCGACGCGCACGCGGCAGTGGCGAAGCCTGCTCGCGAGGGAAAAAGCATGATGGCTACGACTCGGGCGGGTGGTAATGGGGAGTGACCTAGACGTGGCGCGAAGGAAATGGCCCATTTATGGCCCTGTTCTCCACCCCCAATGTAGGTCACCCCCCATTACCACCCGCCCGAACCACCAAGCTGCCGCGGGATCTTGCCGACGCCAGTCTTGGTCATAGTCCATGCTGGCCGCCACCGATTCGCGAGGATAGGCCACGACTTGACGGTGACCAAGATGGACGGTGACCAAGATCGGCACCGACGTTTCCGCGTTCGGTCTTGGTCATGGCCACCGCTTTTTTCCCCTCCATGCTCGCCAACCGCTCTCACGACGATCGACAAGCGAGCACCTCGCAGCCGCCCCTGGACGGCACACGCCGCTCCAGCGGTGTCGTAAGCGCATCTCCCCGCGCGGCAACAGGAAGATCACCCAACTGCCCGTTGCGAAGGCGGCGAGAGAGCGAGAGAGCAAGCTTGGGTCACGGCTGGAACCAAAACGGGTGTGTACGGAAGCGAGAAGCGCGCGGCCGCAGAGAGTGGGGCCAATGCCCAACGACGACGACGACGACGACGACGACGACGACGACGACGACGGACGACGACGGACGACAGGGTGGCTCCTGGGCGCGGGTGCATATGTAAGTGAGGAAGACGACGAGGGCGAGGAGAAGAGGCGTACAAACACCTTTGTCAGTGCAGCCCTTGACATGGCCTCTTCGGAGTACCATTTGGCAAGCCTCTCAAGCCACGTCCAGCCGCAGCAATGAACAAACCCTCTCGGGGCGGCACACATGTTCCCCAGTCATGCTTTCCCTAGGGGGTTCTTATTTGTTTCGTGAAAGAACTTGGTGGGCGCGGTGCCCCAACTCAGAGGCGGCGCACGCCGTTGCTCGGGTTGCCCCATTGTCCCGCTAGTCGGCGTTCCCCCAGGTTGTCCGGGATTGCCCAGGCTGCTCATGTTGCCCAGCTGCCCGATTGCCTTTCTTTCCTGGCATTGCCAAGCAACGCCAATGCCAAAGCAATGCCAAGCGATGGAAGCAACTGCGTTGCATTGCGTAATGGTGTTTGCAACGCCAAGC